GTGACCATTTGGTTGAATAATGATCTATGCTATAAAGTCGACTTTCCTTTGCACTGTACTTTTAGTTACTATTATTATATCTTTATTTGCGCATGATATTAAAAGAAAAATATAGAAAGAATTATACTATATTTATTTGATGACAAAAAACAAGCCGTATTCTGGGTTATTTATTATCCGCTAAAAGTTCTTTATATAACATATTTATATTTTCGTAAGAAAAGTTTTCATTGTTCTTTTAATCATCTTTAACATTACTTTTATTATAACAAACGAATTATACCCATAACTAACTGACGTACTGAGAAAAACAAGTTCATTATAGGTTCGTTACACTGTATAGAGTCGGTTATATATAAAAAAAAAGTTTATAGAATAAATTATTAAGTTATTAGTTTTATAAAATTTTTTCGTTATCATAAATAAAACACACAAATATATAAAATAAACTTTTGTTAAAAAATTTTTTCTTAATTAGTATATTTACCAAAAAGATTTATTTACGATAAAATTACAAACAAAGTATTTAAATCTATTAATTATTGAATGAATTTCGAAGTAGCCATCCGAACTGATATCTGGAGCGCAACCTTGTACAATTTTCGGTACTGTATGCTCAAAAATGACACATATGGGCTGATTTAAGTAATTTATAAGTAGAGTTTATTTTTTTAAAAACTTTAAAGCTAAATAACATTTAACTTTAAAATTTTTTAAAAAATAAGCCCTACTTATAAATTACTCCTCCTATATGATTTATTTCATGTGATTATTTGATTAATTTTTGGACCAGTTCTGAACTAGTTCTTAAAAAGTCCGTTCCCTGTGGACCACATGATGACAACAGGTCATGATTATTGTAATTCTGCATATTCAATTAATGATTGTTTTTAACTGCTACCCAGATTATTTTATAATGAAGCAACTTTAGATTGAATACTATAGTTACTAATTTATGAGATATTCATTATGTACTAAACCTCTAGAGGCTATGTAATGTTGACTGCAAATATCAAACATGTATTATTAAAATAGTGGCTGACTCATATACCTAGCACTATCAAAATATATTGCTCGCGTCTGGGCATTTACATAGCATTATTAATGACTATTGCTCCGTGCTCAATTCGATGCTTTCGTATAGGACAGATAATTTTCACTTTTTTGAATAGTGCATAGTTAACTCAAAATACTATATATTTTTATACTGAATCATTTATATTGACATAAAATGCATCATGAATAACGTACAAGTGCTCGAAATATGGTATGTAATAATATTAGCTAAAAATTCTATTAAAAATGGGTTTAATTATTTATTCATATACAGTATTTTTTTTATAATAATTAATATTTTTTGACAATCAATAAGATTTAAGTAATATAAAAAGTATACATTAAACATTAATTTCTACATTATTTTTTATAATGGTAAAACATATTTATTACGATAAATGGTGAAGAATAAATATAGCCTACTGGGTATTCTTCAGAACCACCTGATAATTAGAATATATGGTTAAATAAAAGAGCGAAGTAATGACAATTTTATTATGTGTATTCATTTAACTTACATTGTGCATCTGTCGGAGGATGCCCACCTTTAGTAAGAGGACGGACGATATAACTAACATCGTCAAATGCACCTTCTCCTGTGTTATTCTATTTATTGTAACAGTTTAAATATTAATAATAAATTCAAAAAAATTTTAAATAAACCAATTTAATAGAACTATGGTTATTACGCTGGTCTTTTCAAGTCCTAAAAGAATATCTTGTGGATCAGATTTCGGTATTCCAACAATTGCAATTGTAATACATCCTGAGGTATCATTTTTCGGGATAATTGATCTAATGCCGAGCGAAGTGATACCAGCTTGTTGATCTAATTATAAAATTTTTTTGTTCAATTAATATAATGTATGGATGTTGATTTGATATATATATATATATATAAGCTATGGTCATTGCATTTTGCCATTCTTAATTCGTAATCCCGACAAGATTATGATTTTGTTTCGACTTGACGTAAACAAACCAAAAAAATTCTTTATTGACAGTATCAATTATTACATACTCGGATTTTTGTATGTCGAAGCCACTGCAGAAGTTGGATAGAGATCTAGGTCTTCTTCGTTATTGAAAAATAATGCACGACTTTCCTCTAATAATTAAAGAATTGTATAAGTATCTAAATAGCATGATAAACCATGTACACACGTATAGGTACATACCGAACACCCATGTATTATTACTGGTACATTGATGCAAGCTCCATCCACTAACGTATAAGAGAAATTTAAATTTATTGCCCTCTGGAGGAGTTATATTTTTCGGGATCTCGATATCTTTAGGAAACTCTGAGAAAATAATTTTATATTATTATATGTGTGTACTACTTAATTGTATGTTATTGATTTAGACAAAAATTTACCATAATTCCCGATTGATTGAGGGACTTTATATATGGTATTGCCGGTAAATAAATTTCTGGCAAATGAACCACTTGCACAGAATAAAAGAACAATCAAAGCCGAGAAAAATTCTAGTTTAACCATCTTAAATAGTATAGTCTTTTTATTAAAATATGGTTGTATATTTATGAAAAAAGAAAATTAATATTAATTGAATGAATTATAGACTAAGGGAATATCTTCTTCAATGATTGAATTAGGAGAACAGACTTTGATGAATTAATATCGATGAATTTCGTGCTTTTTATTTCGTAAATTAAATAAATTTATAATTTCAAGAGGGTAACAACGCGAATTCAATATTGTAAATATTATGCTGTATCTAGATCTAATAAAGTAGCCCCCTATCTACGATTTTAAGGGTAAATGTATTAACCGTCGATTTTTATATATCGATGTTTGGAAATTTGCATAATCAAAATATTTCCCCTGGAAATTTCCGTCACTAAGAGTATTATAATGAATACACAGCATGATGCGAAATAATCCTAATATATCCCTTATTTCTTTTAAGATGTCCATCAAAGTAAACCGACACATTTATTTAGGAAAGTTGCCGTTTGAGTAACTTAACAATTTTGAAGTTTTTGACACAAATTAAAGTATTATTCATATCTAACTGTAAAGTTTTGTTTTTATATATTATGCATGAAATAATTTTATGCCTGCATATTGTATTTTTTGGGAGCGCGTATTACTTTTTTAGAAAGTCTTCTCCTAGGTGATCAAATCATTAGCCAATGTGTAACTGTGGGAGAGACTTGGCTAACATTAGCTCATGGTTACAAGCATAGGTTATGCGGAATGGGCGCTGCATACAGTACCCGGTGTGACACGATTTTTTACATAGTGAAAAATTAAAGATCACTCGAGTTACACAACTGTTAACATCACATGGCATACATAAATAAGTATTTTAAAAAATTGATCTACTTTATTTGTCACGCCGGGTACTGTATGCAGCGCTCTACGGTATTTATTTATTTATTTGGTCGGCGCAAAAAAGAATGAATAATGTTCTTTATTAACACAAGCGTTGTATTTATACATTCTTAAGCTTAAGACGGTCTGAATTCTAAATTCGAAATTTTGGACCACTATCAGTGGTCTCAAACCAGTATCTATGGTTCCGAACCATCATTCAAGACCCAGAACCGAGATATACGGTCCGAAACCGCTACCCATCTCGATCTCATACTCAAAAAGGAAGCTT